AGGTCTGACACCGTTGCTTGCGTTCAGCCCAAGGACTCCACCAACCCGACGCTAAAGGCAGCTAAGGTGGTGAGCATGCCACACACATGGCCTTCTGGAGGGTGAGATTTGCGACTGGGCGGCGCAGCAACTCAGCGTTTGCGAACTTGTCCGAAAGAGGGAGAGCTTGGATTACGACGACCTCTTCCACTAACCCCCGTCTGGTAAGTCTCCTGTGTCCCTTTTCGGTTCTCTGAGGGAGAAGACGATACCAGCTACCCACTCAGTAATCTTAGTACTCCGGCGATGGCGTCAATGATATGTTATGGCCCGAACCGACGGGCTAACGGTGGATTGAGTGGATGGAGGATGAGGAGAAGACGGAGCAACAACAGCAGCAGCATGTTGGAGACCAAAGCTGAGTCTGGAGCTCCCCACAAGCTACACCAGGTCCGGATCCGACCCCTCCTTTGTTGGTTCTCCACGTACTCCGTGCTCGACAGCTAGCTAGTCCCCTTCATCTACTACGCCGCACAGAGGTGGTAGTTCACCACTGTAGCCATCGGACAAAAGGCGTTCCAACAGTTGCAGTCTGGCTGCAGCAAAGTACACGGCATGCTTACTTTAGCTCCTGCACGTCGAGCAAGTGGTAAACCTTCCCATTGTTGGTGCTGGTGGTGGTGGTGCTGCGGACACAGCATCGGCCGGTCCCCCTTTCAAACATATCATCCGAGACAACCATAACGGGAGGCCCTTCTGTGCCGTCCGATTCAAACTTCACATGGGAGTGGGTGCACGAGGACATTCTTATGCTTTTCTCGAACAGGAAAAGAACAGCGGAAACCCCATTTTCTGGCGGACATGGGCCAGAAGAATCGCGCTGTAACAGTGTGGCTGGGAAAAGAAAGTAACTTGACTTATCTGGCCATTTTGCTTTAGTTGCTCTCCGGGAGGCTAGAATCGTCGAAGCACCACTTTCTTTGATTTCATCTCCCATACCACCCAATCGCCAAGTCCCACTAACGGTGGAGCTGCCGTCTGATTGCACGGAAGCCTCAGTGGAGCTGTCCCGTGAATTCTGGCAGGCTGACTGAATGAGCGTCCCGGCTGAGAATGGAGAGGAAGAGAGAAAGAAGATTTGGGCCGCGCCTCGTTAACGAGAATCAAATCATGACCCTTCCTTACGATAAAAAAAGTGGTGTTGTGGCCATGGCCCCTTCGGCCCATCCGGGGCGTACCGGCTCCTCCTGGCCATGGACACTGCACTTGGCTTCAAGGATGCTTTCGATCGCCCAAGGGTAAGAGTAGGTTCATCACCTCTCAACGTATGAAGGTGTCTTGGGAAGCATGATGCAGGAAGCTAGTCGCCGGGAAGCGGCAGGATCAGGAGCCCACCAAAGTGCCAATGATGATTGATCGGCCGCTTTCCAGCCCAAGAGCTGGGGTTACACCGTCATTACTCTCCTTTCAGGAGCATCATCAGCAGCAGCAGAATCATCATAATCATCATCATCCGCATGGGGAGGGTGAGTAATAGATGGATTATTCGACCGGTCACCGTTAGGCTGTCTCAAGTTTATTTGAACCGGGCCGAGGAGGGATCGATAGGATTGGACGGTTAATGACAGCATCAATTCGCAAACTGCCAGACTTTCGTCATCCCGAAGAGAGAAAGGGAAAAAAATCAAAAGAGGAAAAACGAAAATGTGTGAAAAAGAAATGAAAGAGAAAAAAGAAATGAAGCAAACTTGGATCTGATGGGGCGTACGGAATACCTCAAATGCCACTGGTCTTTGTGTGTATGTGTGGTGGTAGGTGTACTAGTAGTAGTTGATCTTGATTGATGGGGGGCTCGGGAGGGGTGCCATTCGTTGAGTGGCGCCTCTGAGATGTGGGAACAAGGCTGACAGCAGCAAGTCAGATCGGTCGTTCCCATACCGGAGTGTAACCAGATCGAGTCGCGTATTCCGTATTATTGACTGGATATCCCGCGAACGAAGAAAAACAGGCAGACAGATGGGGCTAAATCCTCGGAGAGGAAACAAATGGCGAATGAATTGACAATTGGGATTGAGAAAAAGGAAAAAGGGAAATCAAAACAAAAAATAGGCCGCGATGTTGACTGAATCGGAATTATTCAATAAGAAGGAATATCAAACAAACAGTCTGGAACAATTTAACCCATATCAGCAAACGCAGACAACGGTAGCGACGAAAATAACGTCCTCCATGACACGATCATCAGCACTATCGCGGGATCAATAGATGGCTAGAGCTGTGGTGACTGGGCCGATCCACCGAGCCAGCGTCACAGGCCATGTCTACTAGGTGGAGTTTGGGCTGGGCTGTTCAGGGCATGGTTTGTCAATCCAGGGTGCCATTTCAGCAGCTCATTATCAATAACGATCACCATTGTGAGCTCTAAACTATGACCCTTTAAGCATGACCAGGGGGTGGTCAGCCATATCCTAGGCAGCGACTCGTGTGGGTGGGAATCAAGCTCTTACCCGGTGGTACCTGGATTGAATCTCTGAGAGATCCCACTCCGATGGTGGACTCGACCAAGTGGTTCTCCCAAACCCATGATATCCAGTTATTTCCCGAAGACGAGGATTATACTTCGCATCTATAACAAGATGTTTGGACGGTGCCGTTCAATCCGACTACCTACCCATCAAACTAAAAACGGCTACTGTACTGTGCCTAATCCTCCCGGCGCCAATCTTCATTAATCCAGACCATCCATTTTCTGCCCTTTCCTTCCAAACCTAAAAAGACCTGTGTGGGTATTGGAGCCCAACATGCCAATGGGAAATTTTCTTTTTCTATCTGTTTCCTTTTTTTCCCAAATTCTTTTCTTGCCCTCTTTTTTTTTTATCCCATTGTCTCTTTTCGTCCAACACTAATCATTATCCTCGACAATGTGAATGCCCTTTTTTCCCTTCACGCTTTTACTTTGAGAGAGGTTTGGGGCTTGTAATCTTTTTTGCTAGTGTATTTGCAGAGACAGCAGCTCCAAGATGACTGGCCAAATGACTCGAGATAGCGTTGACTGGGCGAAGTTAATGCAAAGAAGAAAAAGGAAAATGCCAACGAAGAAATAAAAAGAAAATGACAGCTGATTAATAATCCCGGCCAACACGATCTGTCACGGCCATATTGACACTCACCCGGCCGGATGCACACACACCCGCACACCCACTCTGGTCTTAGGGTGGTGTGGGTGGCAGGTGCTTGCTACTTACCTACTACCAAGTAGGTAAAAGTAGCTGCATGTTCTCCCTCCACTACTCATGCCTCCTAAGTGGCAGCTCGCAAGCCATCCTGATTGTCACAGTAATTTCATGAGATTATTTCCCGGCCTGTTATAATTAGTCGTCTGCAGCATGATAGGCGAGAGAAGCCATGCGGATTACCACTGACCATATACCACTTACTCTCTGTACATACACCGTTCGACACTCGGTTGATCAGTAGATACTTCTCCAGAACCACCAACTGCTCTCTTTTTGGATCACCTTTCTCACTGGCGCATTTGTCTCCGATCCATTCCTTGCTCGTCACAATCTCAAGTACAAAAACGCAAGCGAAACAACGGAACCCCATCTGCTTGACCTCCTCAAAGTTTTGAGATCTCGACGCTTGGCGGCTGTTTCCGATTCTTTGTCTACAGTCTTTGTTCTACCTTTCTTTTTTCCTGCTCTTTAAGCTTTGCCCATCATCCCTCATACTGCTGCTACTCTGGTCCAGTTGCCAGTTTTGCTGGACAGTTTTTCCTAGGTTGAACCTCGACGGGCCAAAGGTACGTTCTATTTCCTTGCCAATTATCCCTACTACCCACGGTTCTTATCGTCAAACAAGTCCCGGGGTCGCAGCCATGTCAGTGGTGGCCTACAGGTAAACCGTCATCCGCTGCATCTAATATTTCTTTTTTGCAAAGAAAAGTCCCCTACTGTATGCCGTGCTCGGCGTCTACTGGCTCTCTTTCCCTCTCTTACTCTCTCTCTCTTTCTTCCCCAGAATTCTCACTTTTTTTGCCCCGTTGACTTTTATGATTTTACTTTTCCCACCATTTTATTCTTGGATTTGACTCTGCCACTGCATGCTGCAAATCATCCCCCCAAAAGACAGTTCATCGAGTCAGCCATCTCTTTCCTTTTCAATTGCGCCTGTCTGTCGTCAGGAGTCACTTTGTTCGAGTCAATCCTCTTCAGAGACCCTCAAAGTGTCGCATTCGCGTTTTTGCTCCTGCGTCCTGCATCCATCCTGGTCAATATTACACCACCTTCCCGCTAGTTACAAGCTCATCCTGATATCCCCACTAGTCAGTGCATCCCTCTGACGCTGTCCTGCCCTCCGTCACTTGTCTGTTTTCTGTCCCTATTTTTTTTTATTTATTCATTTTTACCCTTAACCCTCTTTTTATTCAAATCCGTTTTCTATTTTTTTTATTTTTTTATTTCATTCTTTCCGCCCCCCTTCTCCCTGCTTGGTTTTTTCTCCCAGACTTCTTCATCTCCCCCCATACCTGTTCCGGAATAGCTAGCTGGTGAACAACTCCTCTGACTGAAGGATGGGTCTCCAGCGCAGCTAAATAACGACCCTGGACCCTCCACAATTACACTTGCACACTCGCATTGCACCGTTTATCCAGGCCCATCATCGCCAGGCCCCCTTCCTTTCCCACCCTCACCCCCCTCCCCTCCCCCAGGTCAGAACCACACGGACCAACGAGCCACCACCGTTACCCTTCAGCCTCTCATTAGCTTTCCTTTTCATAAGCTCTCCTCTAGTCTAGTCTAGATATCCTTTCCACCCCCGTTTCTGGGCCCCTCCCTCCGGACTATCTTCTTACGCGCATCCTTTCTTCTCTCCCGCACCCAAGCTGAACTTTGTTTTATGTCTCTCCTCTAGACTTCCCTCCCCTTATTATATGAGCTGAAGCCATTGAAGGACGAAAGCAAAGGAAGTCCAGAAAAAAATCAAAAAGGAATATCATCCCGGACCATTTGAGGTCAGTCATGACCGGCATGGTTCAGACTGACCTAGCTCATCCACCTGCACCAAAGTACAAGGACGAGCCAGTGGAAGATCCTGTGAGTGTATTCTCGTCACTTCTTGAGTGCTAGAAACCCGTGCTTTTTTGCCTGTTATGTTGTTCTTTTCTTTTCCAGTTTTTTTTCTTTTTCCCTTCTCCGACCTTTCTATCTTGGTCTTTTGCCTCTCATGCCTGCATCAATCCATGCCTTTGCCTTCATCCAAGGTCAACCTGGCCTACTGCGCATGAGTGCTACTGGGGAGAACCCGGGAGTATGTGGGCATTTGGTCCTCAGTAGAGCAGGCCTCCCTGCTTGTTGAGACCGTATACGATAACCTGACCGTGTCGCCTGTTTCCACTGCGATGACGTCTCCCGCAATGCGCCAATAATCAATGCACGGACGCCTTGTCTTCCGACGTACGTCGAACACCCTGTGGTCTCACCCTCGACATTCGGAATATTCTTCAACGTCCTGCGACACTAGAGCCGCCAATGGGGCTGGAAAGTTTCTTCAGCACGGGTCATGCCCACATCTGTCATGCTCTCTAGCCGCGCTTGCAGAAAGTCATCGCTGACTCGGCTTTGACTGTTCGACCAAACTATGAATCTGATTCGGACCCCACGTGTCTCTGCCACGTTCCCCTGGAGGCGATAAAGGAAGGTCATTCTTGTTGCCTGAATGACACGACCTACCAGCAGGATGGACTTCATACCCACCGAGGTTTTCGGAGGTGCGAATAGGTCCAGAGTTGCCAACCTTTTACCAACGATGCTTGCCTGTGGCAAGTGCTTCCTGATTGCCTGTATGCCGCCATATACGCATTGGGCTGCCTCCTACAGATGCTCAACCACATGTGTGTCTGGGTTTCTTATAGAATACGGAAAACTCTGATTGGTGTTCCCATGTGCAGTTTCTGATTCACCTACATTGTTTTTTTGTCTTGCAAATTCTTTTTTTAAGCGTTTTTTTGAGCAGATCGCAAGCTGCAACATATCGAACACTTGGGTTCTGAAACTTTCTTCGAGAATAATTCAGGTTCCAGCGCTAACTGTCATTTGACCCAGCATCGCCATCCCGGCCCGCAACCGCCTCATCTTCAGCATCCTCGACCAACTCTTCTGGTCCAGCCACAGAAACAACCAGAATCACCACATCAGACTTCAGCTACCCTACCTTCTGGTTCATACGCACCTCACGCCTTAGGCAACGGAGTTATACATCATCAGCACTCCTACGGCCCGCCATCAGAGCATTCGTACTATTCATCTCATTCCTCTTATAGTACAGCAAGCGCACCCAGTCAGTACTCATCAAGTGGTAAGTGCGGTGTAAGAAGTTTCTTTGGTGTCTTTTGGTATAATGGTATTCGCAGCAGCAGTGACAACAATATGCTCTAAAGATTGCTCCGGTTAATTCAAGCCACAGAGGCTGATTCATGTTCAGGACCGCCAGAATGATGGCTACAGCCACGCAAATGCAGCGGCCGTATCCTCCAATTTATCATACGCCCCAATCCAGCTCGCCTGCTTCAGTAGCTTCCCAAACACACGAACAGCATAATCGCGGCATATACACACAGTCGCCCCAAATGACCTCGCAAATGTATGGCTATCCGCCATACTCACCCATGAATCCAGTGCAGCCTCCACCCTATGGACCGAATACATCCCCCCAACAGCACCCTCTTACGACACAGCCACTGATGGTGCCCCATCCGACAAGCACTGCGCAGTTACCGCATCATCCGGCTCAGGCTCCAGCAGGGAACTTGTCAAGTAGTACAAATTCAGCTGCGGCACAACAGCCAACGCCCCCTCAGAGAACGATGCTAAACCCCCCTCACTCAGCAGCTAGTGGTGCACCTTTGTCAGCCAGTGCTGTTCACCATCAAAACTCTAATGTCGGGGCCAGCTCTAGTGCGGCACCAGGACCAATCCCTGCCACAACCCCCCTGGTTGTCCGACAAGATAGCAATGGTGTCCAGTGGATCGCGTTTGAGTACTCTCGGGATCGTGTAAAGATGGAGTATACAATCCGCTGCGATGTTGAGTCGGTTAATGTGGATAATTTAAGCCAGGAGTTCAAGACTGAGAACTGCGTTTACCCTCGAGCCTGCTGCAGCAAGGACCAGTACAGAGGCAATCGGCTGGTCTACGAAACTGAATGTAATGCTGTTGGATGGGCCTTGGCGGAGCTGAACCCGGCACTGAGAGGCAAGCGTGGGCTGATTCAGCGGGCAGTGGATAGCTGGAGGAATAGCAACCAGGACCCTCGACTTCGAAGCCGGCGTGTGAGGAGAATGGCCAAGATTAACAAGCGGCAGGGGATGCCTGTGCCTCCGCCTCACATGGCGCCTTCCACCCCTGTCGGCCCTGGGGTGCCAAGTGCTAGTATGCCCGCCCCCGGTCCTCGTCCCAGCCTGGGGCCATTGCCTATGGGCCCCCCTCAGCTACATCACCACCATGCCCAGCCAGATGGAAGTGCAGGCCACGAAGAAGCTAGCGGTATGTTCCACCACACATGATGTGCTTGTCCCTGACACTGTTTGAATGAATCGACGGTGCTCTTGTCGGTTTGTCTTGTATTGTTCGATGTTTTTTGCCATCTCTAAGTAGGCAGATCGCCACCGAACGGACGTGAATTTGGTGTGCTTTCTTCCAAGAGATATGGATACCGTACCCCATGTATTTCTATTTGGTCTGGAGAGGCTCTTGTCGTTTTGCTGCTTGTTGTTTTGCCCATACCCGGTTCATGTTTCGCCTGTTATGCTACGTTGACGCTGTACCCCGCTGTGCTTTCAAACATGACGTGCCACCTGCAGTTTTGCGTAGGCTAATTTATATATTGTCCTATCATACATAATAGGTACCACTGACTATACGAACGGTACCAGTCGTCCACCTGTCTCGGATGGTCTGCAACCCGGGCCATCGCCAACGGACATCCGCACGGCGCAGGTGTTCCATGGCTATCCTTCCTATCCGACCCCCGCGACGGCCTCAGGGGGACCAAGGGGTCCCTCAATACCGCCACTACTCCGAGATAGTGGCATCGGGTCTCTCGGGCGCCATCCGACCATTGCGACATCCTCGAACCGGATCGAAGAAGTGGACGATGACGATGACGAGCGCAATCCAAGCAGCGATGCGCTCTTCGGCACACTGCCCGAGGGCAAACGCCGCAAGTTCATCCTGGTGGACGACAACCAGCGGGGTTGTCGCGTGCGAGTCAAGGTCATGCTGGACCAGGTTGATATGGACGAGCTTCCGGACTCCTATAGGATGTCTAATGCGGTATACCCCCGGACATACTTTCCTGTTCAGATGAGGGACCCGGGTCGAGTCGTGCCTGGGAATCGATATATTAAGGACCACGTTGGGGTGGATGAGGGTGACGATGCCGATGATGATGACAGCCCGACCGTTGGAAGGATCATGGTTCCTGCACCACAAATTGATGGTGAGGGAGAGATCGCGGTCCCCCGGCTGTCCCGAGGACGACGGAGAAGAGAGGTACTCTTGAATGACTTGGGCTACCGAATGAGTTGGAGCCAAAGTCGAGTGTTTGCGGGGCGAATGCTGTTCCTGCAGCGATCTCGTGCGTGATCTTCCCTTCCCTTACATCCCTTGCGTCGCCTGCATATTGGCCATGCAGTCCCCACCCCGGAATACCGTGAATGTCACTAATCTTTGGCCCGTGTCGGGAATGTAGTTGACGCGTACCGAAATAAGATGCGCAGCACGATGCTGGCGGCCGGCCAGGACCCGACAACCATTCCCCGGCATTTCGAGACGCGGGCGGGCAAACGACGATTCCTCGAGCGTAAGCGACGGGCGGCGGGGGGCCCGACTCGGGGTGCCGGTGCCCATGGGGTGTCTGCCTCGCAGCGCAGTGCTGAAGAGGTCGAGGCTTGACCCATGCATCTTAGGGAACACACCATCTCCTTCTATTTATATTCAGTGCTACCGTATCCCTGAAGGTTGTGTCAGGGAGATGTTTACTTTGACCGTGTCACTCGTTTTTGTCCCAGTTCGCCTGATCCTTCTGCCGGGTTGTCCCTCAGAATTATGCTGACGGGGCCGACAGCGATCATGGGCCGCTATGTAAAGTAATAGATATTGGGAGGGAGTCCAAGAGGGGGGAAGGGGATATGGCGGTCTGATGGATCGGGCGTTGGAATTTTGACGATGATTTTTGTTCTTGACATGATTATGATGATTTGACGGCTGCCCTTACTACGAAAACAATATGATGAATGACTGATGATAAAGCTATGAATGTGAATGATGGTATTGTGGCTTTGTTCTTTTTTTCCTTCCTTTGGTGCCGTGTCAATGAAACCCCAAAGAATACGGGACAGAAGAAGGTTACTTGGTTGCTGCCTGCCGCATTCAGTGCATCTGGGCGGGCACGTGCAACCCCGATTCCGATTAGGTCGAAGCGGCAGTGGACCAACCGGGGAAAGACCCTGACCCGATGCGGCTTAGTGGCTGCTGGACCCTGGCGTTTAGTACGACGTTTGGCTTCCAATTCAGGGCACAGTTACATACACCCGCTCCATACAGCCATACAGTATACAGTACAAGTCTAGTGGTTGTCGGGGTCACCGCCGCTCTCTCTCTCCCACCCCCTCCACCACAAAAGTAACTTCATCCATTAACCTTTTTGCTCGTCGCCATGGAAGCTGGGGTTCTTTTCTCCACTGCTTCTGTGCCGCATGCAGTCACTTTATCTACTACCAGTCTTCCCGACTTCCATCCATCTACTACCACCCACCCTAGTAACGACTACTATTCATTCACCTTTTCCTTTCGGGGGTGGTTGTTTGTCTTTCATATCCGCCTTCTCCATCCATCCTTCCACCCCCTCACGTCCCGAATCCAAGACACCCCGAAACTTAGTCTAAGATCCGGGTTTGCATTTCAAATCTGATTGAGTTCGTGGCTGCGTTCCTTTTTCTATTTTGGCGGTATGCTGACAATTGCGTCGAAGAAAATAGCCCGTCGCAGTTCACTGGTCCACGATACTCCGCCCATCCTTGGGTGACTTTCACGGGATCGTCTGTAAACGAACGAACCGTGGTTCCGTCGGGCTGTCAGACTTGTTCTTGATTTAGAAGCAACACCCTGCGACGGTTGGGGTACCATACTGCTACTACTACTACTACCACCTGCCTGCCTACCGGGAGACCGCTTTTTCTGCCCTTGCCTCGTTCGTCTGGCTGTCTTACTTGGGGTCTTGCTTGGTGCTCTCTTCCTTCCGTTCACTGCTCCTACTAGTAACTCTTCCTCATCTATCGCCCTCTCTTCCTTCGTCGCCAGTTAGCTCAGTACCCTATTATTATACCTATTTCGTCTGCTATTGCGATATTTCCTAACATTCATTCACAAAGAATTCCTTGTCACATGTCCCAGCATGGCCGGCGTGAACCGGTCCTTTAGTTACAGTCGCGGCGACGATGCGTTGTTGAGAGATGATGAGCGAGAAATTTCACCCCTCCGATCTGCAGAAGACGGTCTCTACAGTACATCATATGGCGACATCTCCCCGCTATCTGCTGGTTTTCAAGCACAGACTAGGCCACTCGACCGAGGTCTGGTGTCAGTCCCGGAAGGTCAGAGTCTGGAGCGCCACATGACCTCGACGCCGGGGATGGATAATCTAGGGCCGGCCTCTGTGGGTGGCGGAATCAGTGGTATCGCTCTTGGCGTAGCCAATTCTAATAATCGCCAGAGTGGAGTTGACGCTTTTAGGGAAACAGATCTTCCAGTACGCAATCTCCCTGCTGAACGGGATTTCAACACCACCGGCTCCGATAATCCTTATATTCCTGCTCCGCCCGAAGGAGACGTCTATCCAAATTCGGAGACGATGAGATATCGCGACTCTTACAGCTCGCATACCGGGCTTGGTGCTGGCGCGCCCTTTGCAGAACATAGCACGCCGGGAACCACGCCATCCCAACGTAGCTTCTTCGATAGTCCGTACCAAGGTGTGGATGCTGGACCGTATCAACGGCATTCGGCTTATAGTTCTCACGACTACCCGCTTGTCATCAATCCGGATGATATTGCTGACGATGGCGATGATGGGTTCCCTGTCCACCCCAAGGGAGTGGCGGACTACAGATCAAATGGGAACGTGCCTGCTGCGGGTGTCGCTGGTGCAGCGGCTGCCGGGGGGCTTTTAGGGAAGTTTCGGGCGCTTTTCAAGAAAGAGCAACCAAGTCCGTATTATGATTCTGATATTGGAGGTGGGTTGGGAGGAGCTGAAAAGGCACAAGGAGGTAGGCACATTATTGGAGGCGGGAGTCGCAAACGTGGGTGGATCGTTGGGCTCGTATTGGCGGCAGTGATCGTGGCAGCTATTGTTGGGGGCGCTGTCGGTGGTATTCTGGGCCATCAGGAGCATGACGGCGATACATCTTCGTCGTCATCATCATCGGGCACAGGGTCTGGGGGTTCAGACAAAGGAGATGGGCTGCTCGACAAGGATTCCGACGAGATCAAGGCGCTTATGAACAACAAGAACCTCCACAAAGTGTTTCCCGGTGTTGACTATACCCCGTGGGGAGTGCAGTATCCGCTGTGTCTCCAATATCCTCCGTCGCAGAACAACGTTACGCGCGACCTGGCGGTGCTCACGCAGTTGACTAATACTATCCGACTTTACGGCACGGACTGCAATCAGACTGAGATGGTCCTCGAGGCCATTGACCGCTTGCAGTTGACTAACATGAAGCTCTGGCTGGGCGTGTGGATCGATACCAATACAACGACTACGGATCGCCAGATTAGCCAATTGTATAAGATTGTGGAAAGTGCAAACGACACCTCGATATTCAAAGGAGCTATTGTGGGTAATGAAGCTCTCTATCGAGCAGGCTCGGACGTGGCGAGTGCGGAAACGAATCTAATCGGCTACATTAACGATGTCAAAGACCACTTCAAAGAGAAGAACATTGACCTCCCGGTGGGCACCTCGGACTTGGGCGACAATTGGAATGCACAACTCGTCAGCGCAGCCGACTTTGTCATGTCAAATATTCATCCGTTCTTCGGAGGAGTCGAGATCGATGACGCCGCCAGCTGGACATGGACATTCTGGCAGACACACGACACCCCACTCACAGCCGGAACGAACAAACAGCAGATCATATCAGAGGTCGGATGGCCGACGGGTGGAGGGAATGACTGTGGATCCGACAACAAGTGTCAGAATGACAAGCAGGGCGCTGTGGCGGGCATCGATGAGCTGAACCAGTTCCTGTCGGAATGGGTTTGTCAGGCGTTGGACAATGGTACAGAGTATTTCTGGTAAGTTGCAGACTGCTACAATAATCAGGACGCTGCTAAGACACATGCAGGTTCGAGGCCTTCGATGAGCCGTGGAAGGTCCAGTACAACACGCCCGGTCAGGAATGGGAAGACAAATGGGGGCTGATGGACTCGGCTCGCAATCTGAAGCCGGGCGTCAAGATCCCTGATTGTGGCGGCAAGACAATTACGTGAACGCCGATACGTCTCTAGACCTGATGAAAGTGATGATGGATGAAATGTACACAACATATCCGACATACATCATGTGTTATGATGCATTACGACTGATCGATTTCTGCTGTGCTTCCTTGCGGTGTTAGAGCTTTGTCCTGGGACTGTATTCTATTGAGCTGATGCATGGGTCGGCTGCCGTCGTTCATTTGCGCGGCATCCCGACGAGTGTCACGACGCCATTCTACGCGAAGTGCTCTTTGGCGTGTTTGTATATAGCGTGAGCGTGTGATCCACATAGGGCTGACAATACGACCCTTGTTGCATGCATGCCGATTCGGTATTCGGTGCGCATAGCGTAGGCGTGTAGCCAGTAGATGGTTGTCACCATACCAGCCATTCACCACAATTTCATGGTGAGAGGCAACCATTCCCATCTAGATGATACTCCCTACTACTCCTCCCCCTCCTTCTCCAACGGATAATAAACCCGCATGTTCCAAAACGCATGTTCCTGCGCTTCAAACAGCGGCAACCTGACGGACCTCCTCCTCCTCTTCACAAACGCACTCACCACCTCTGACTCGACATCCTCCAACGGTCCCCCAAACACAAATGCCGGATCCAGCGCCAATAACTGCTCGAGATGTGTGCGCTCCGCGCCAGGACAGAAAAGGAATGTACGGGGAGTTACTTTCTCGAATGCGAGGGGGGACTCGAGAACGGTGATGTCGAGGGAGGAAAGGAGGGATTTATCGAGGGTATTAAAGACGGGGTCTTGGGCGTAGGTTTTTATTGTTGGATCTGTTATTTGAAGTGGAATGATTAGTTGTGTAAACGAGATAGATATTATATGGATATAACTCACCAGCAGAAGAAGAAGAAGAGGAGATAGAAGCCATGACATCCACCAACGCAGCCAACTGATACAGCGAAACTAATCGCCGATCGACCCACCCTCCACGAAGGAATCCGCTCGGACTGCCGAGACCGATGCAGATGATGGAATCAATCCCTAATCCTGTTCCATTATGCTTATTCTCTGCTGTAGTATGCGATTGTTGTATATTATCCGTATTTGACTCTTGGGGTTTTGATTGAAGGAGGATATTGTGAAGCGTCCTCCCCACCACATCGCAAGTCGACGAATCTTTCCATGTGCGTTGGATGATCTGGGTGAATTGCGTTTTGAGGGTGTCGAGGGTCGTGGTGGGTGGGGCTTCGGCGGGGTGGAATAATGATTCTTCTTCTTCTTTTGTTGGCGATTGGGATTGGGATTGGGATTGTTGGTCTTTGGTGGTGCGCGCACAGCGGCGCGCTTTGCCGCTCGTGGTGACATGCGTCCAGCCGGTAGTGGCGTCGGTGATTTGGAATCGTTTTTGCGCTTGTAGGGTGTTGTTGGGGTGAGGGTGTTTTTTGCGCGAGGTGTGGGGCATTTTGCTGGTTTCCTTTGCTTCTTTCGCTGTGTGATTGGGGGGGGGAGGAGGAAGAATTGGTGCTAATATAGAGTGTTGTGGGCGTTGTGCTTGTTGGTGGGAGGAGGATGCATGAATGAATGGCAGAGAGAATTGAATGCGACGGAGGGGAGGCCGGCGGGCGGTAAGTGAGTGGGTTTGATTGGTCGGAGGATACTAAGTTGTAGACACGCTTATAAGGCGGCATACTGCTCCCCACCATCTATTTCCACCAGTATACAGTATCATTGAGGGCTAATCGCATCTCTTTTCCCCTTCACCATGTCTACTGCAGAAGAAAAGCACAACGTCCAGTCTGTTGGTTCCGGCCCCCAAGTCAATATCCTCTACTCAGCCCCTGGTTTCGCAGTACTCGATCCAGACACTATCAAGACTATGGCGAACCCCAGCAATACCATTTTTGGCTGGGGCGGCGTACAGATAGTGAGGATATCTCCTGAAGTTGTGGTCAAATATGGCTCTCATGTCACACTACACGAGGCTAAAAGCATGGTATTTGTTGATCAGAATACAGAAACTGTACCAGTGCCCAAGATTTTGGCCTATTACTCTTACGGCCCAATAGATCGAGATGTTGATGACTGTGGGAGTCTTTATGATAATTATATATTCATGAGTTTTGTGGAGGGTCAACGGCTGGATAAGGTCTGGGACACTTATGATAGTGTGACAAAAAGTCGAATTGCCGGCCACTTGAAAGGGTATCTCGATGAGCTTCGCCAGGTTGAGCACAGGAATTACATAGGCTCTGTTGATCGTGGGCCTCTTCGTGATTCAATTCTAGGAGACCTTGAGTACAAGGGTGAGTAGTGTCACCGGTGCCTGTAATTGATACTGATGCTACTAAGGACCCTTTGATTCGGAAGATGATTTTAACAACGCAATAATCAATGCGTATCAAGACACGACACCAAAACGTCATGTCAAGAATGTCCTGGTTGGTATGTTGTCGTCTCAGAAAGGACGTAATATCGTGTTTACCCATGGAGATTTTCGTCATCCCAATATCATGGTTAATGATGGGAACGTCACTGGAATTGTAGACTGGGAGTTTAGTGGATGGTATCCTGAGCACTGGGAGTTTGTCAAAGCTCTCGTGGTATGGCGATGGCAGAATGACTGGACAAAATATCTGGCACAGATTCTCCAACCGTATTATACTGAGTATGCGGTGTTTTTGTTCTTTCATGAAGTTCTCTGGATGTAATAATTGTGGTTGGGTTTGTAAGACTACTTGGAACGAAATCAGTAGATATTGGATTAGTCCCGGTAGACCTGGTGCCTGCAAGGTCGGAAGACAATGAAACTGCAGCTGATAGAAGTATGAAAGACAACGTCGTAAGAGCCTTGAACAATCTGAAGAGATAGTAGTGAGCCATAATCTCTCTTATTGTGCCTATCCGCATAGCTTTTAGATATCGAGATCACGTGGTGTTATGGTAGGTGATGTCTTCCTGAGCCTAGATCATGATCAAGCTAAGGATATGCAGCCAAAAACCAGCTATGAGAATAACCAGCGGATAAAGACATTACCTACAATTATCCTTGTCATGCAAGCTTGATCACGGCGCTTCAAGTCGGACTGAGATGCGTAGCCTATACTATGGCGGGGTTGGGCGCTTAGCTACACATAAACATATGAGCGGGCTGAACACCAACAGTATCAGCTTTCGTCCAACTCACAACGCAAATTGCATGGTATATCCGTTGGAGATGGAAGAAGTGATTATCATACAAAACAATGAATGCAAAGTACTCGGTTGGTTTTGGTGTTCCTCTCATGTGATTAGCTATAGCAAAATCGTGCCCCAACACATTCAGAATCGGGGTGATAATGCGAATCAGCGTGAAGGTTGCCAACCATTAGAAAGTTCCGTAGTAGCGCTGAGACGGGGCTATACTAACAGAAGGAGATAGTTACCTGAAAGACTGCAACGAGACTAATGGACAGAAGCTGCATGCGATCGTCCCGTCACACTGCGATCACCTCCCCATCGGCCCCTCTGAGTCGATCTCTAAGCGCCCTGCCCGGATAGCGCCCGTCGCTCCCCCTCTTCTGCTTCCTCCTGTGCCCTCTCGTGCCCTCTCTCAACCCTTGCTCGGCGCTACCAGCAGCTTCCTCTCCGCGAATGACAGTCCAGAACTGCACCCTGTCGCTGTGATGTCTCTTGCAGCCCGCCTCCCTGGTCTATCCACCCAGCCAATCTGCTTCTTGCAATCCTTCGCGCGCTCCCCAGTTGTAGTCTAGTCTGATCCAGTCCTGCTATCAGCTAAACTTCTGCCGTTGGAACCGTCACTCATCCCATCCCATCCCCAATCGCCGCTGTCCCCTGCGGGAGTTGTCACATCGCACATTGCGCTGTGACTCGTCCATATCGCTTGCCTTCCCCGCTATGCCGGTGGCCGTGAGCGCCATTGCAGGAACCGGCCATGGCCTCTTCGTCTCGACTCAAAAAGTCATGGCAACCCTCCCTCCCGCCCAGCTGCTGGAAGGCTTGATTTCATGATGATCATTCTTCTTCCTGCAGTGCTGGATCGCTTGCCGTGACTGTTTTCGTGTGCCTCTTGATGAGTCGAGGTTGCTAAAGGTTATTTCTGTTCCATCTGAGCTCCTCTGGCGCACTCTGTATATCTCCTCTTTCCTATATCTCCTTCCGCTATTGTTCTACCCACTGGTGCCCTCAGAATGAGATCCTTCAGCGACTCGATATCCCGCTGGACAGCGGCCCTCACTCTCCTCTGGCTGGGCCTGGTCAATGCTCACACCGTCATCACTTACCCCGGATATCGAGGTAACAACCTGCACACCAACGGTACGGTCGAAGAGACCAACGGTCTGGGTGTCGCATGGAAGAACGGCTCCTACGTCTATCCCTATGGAATGCAATGGATCTATCCTTGTATGTATCCTATCATGCCTTGTCCATGTTCTCAAAGAGGGTAATCAGCTGACTGTTTTAGGTGGCGGTATGGCCACCTCCCGCAATCGCACCAAATGGCCCGTCACCGGCGGTGCTGTCGCCCTTCAACCTGCCTGGTTCCGCGGCCATGAGACGGCCTTCGTCTACATCAACATCGGCTGGGGTACCATTCCTCCCAACATGAGTAACCCCATGCTCTCGGTCTTTGAAATCGAAGGTCCCACCAACAACCCTTACCCCGGCACCATCTGTATGCCGCAAGTGCCGCTGCCGGCCAATATGAGTGTGAGCCCGGGTGATAATGCGACAATTCAGGTGGTGTTGGCGGCGAAGCACGGTGCTGCTCTTTATGATGTATGCAGCAGCCCCTCTATGTATCCATTTACATCGGGATTGATACTGACTGACTATATAGTGTGTGGACATCACCTTCGCTGAACCTGAGGATGTTGAAGAAGTGACGAAAGACAACTGCTTCAACTCAACCGATATTGCCTTCAAGTATGTCTTTGCCTCGAAGTCCCTGACGACTTCTGGTGCACTGGCGCAGCTGAGTAGTCCCGGGTTGAACGCCGTGGTACCGGTGCTGGTGATGGTGTTGTTTGGACTGTTCATGATGTGATGTGATGATGTATTCTGAAGTCGTTTTGCTCCCCGGTTACTTGGCACATACCTACCAGACATACCCTTATACTCTCCTTATACCCATACCCCGTTTGGCTGTGAGCCGACGATGACTTGTTTTGCAATGAAGCTGCATGTTTAATGTTCCATCATGGTGTTGTGGTAATATGGTACTCATTACATACTACTTATATATCGAATCAATCTCATATACCTAAAACCCTAACATCTACGACAACTATCTCACTACTCCTCACTTCTACCTACTACCTAAACCCTGCTATATAATTACAACCCCCTCACCACCCCCAAAATAACCTCCACCACCTCCCCCGGCGCCTCCTGCGGTGCCCAATGCCCCACCCCAGGAATCAACCTCACCTCCCTCAAATCCCCACAACTCGTCCCATTCCGCATATTCTCCAGCGCCCCCGGCTCCTGATACACCCCCCAATCACTCTCCCCGGAGGCAAACGCACACGGAATCCCAATCCTCCTCCCCGCAAACACCTCCCAATCCCAAGTATATTTCCTCCCTGGCGTCGTCCGCACCCGATACCAATTCAACGCGCCCTGGAACCCCGTACGCGCATATTCCCCCACATACACCGACAACTCCTCATCACTCATCCATTCCTTACTCCGGGATACACCCTCCACACCCGCCTGCCGCATCATATCCTCCACCGTCTCGGGCATACTCAACCCCACCGGCATGATATAATACCCCGGCATTCTGGCTAACTGTTCCCCCGTCCACGAGGAAATAGGTCCCATGCTTGAAGGGTCATTCCCCTCCCAACATCCACTCTTCAGATGAAAATACCCCCGTAGGAAATCGTGAAGACCTTGCGCAGGGTTCTCCATCTCGCGGCCGGCGTTTTCGGTCGAGTAGTACCATTTATAGTGTTTTAGACCGAGGTTGCTTAGCTCGGTTTGTATATCTCCTTCTCCTCCTCCTTCGTTTTCCCCCTTACTCTCATTCTTCTCCTGGGGAATAGCAGCCGGAACCCCCGGAAACGGATGACTTAGCAGCACGACACTCCGAAACATATCGGGTCTGGCGACAGCGCAAAACGCTGCTGTCACGGCGCCTGCGTCATGACCTACTACGCATTCCACGGTGGTGTAGCCCAGTGCGTGGACTAGACTCACCACGTCCCGGACTAAGGATAGGCCTGTGAAGGTGGTGAGGTTCGAGTCCGGGTAGTTGGGGGCGTCTTTTTCCCAGCCGGTGGTGCGCCCGAAGCCGCGTCCGTCTGGGGCCACGATGTGGTAGTCCGGACCGGCTTGGATGGAGAGTTGGGGGAGGATGTGGCGCCAGGAGTAGGCGAGTTCGGGGAAGCCGTGGAGGAGGAGGATGAGTTTGCGGGGGCGTGGAGTGGTTGTTGTTGTTGTTGTTGTGGGGGAGTTGGATTCGAGGATGTGGGTGGTTAGGGTGGGAGTGGTTGGGATGAGGCGGGAGGTTATTGAGGGGGGGAGGGGGAGGGGGGATAATGATGGTAGTGATGAGGAGGACATTGTGGTATTTTGGTGGTGATTATGGTGATGATGATGATTATGGTTATGGTGGTGATGTTATTAGATTGATGTGTAATATAGTAGGGTGAGATGGGCAGTATATAAGGTTCAAGGGGAGAGGGGAAAGGGAAGGTTAAGTATTATTCTGACAAAGAGGGGGATCAGATGTTAATTAATGGTTGATAATATGGCTAAAGACCCGAGGTTAAATTACTTTATAATCTACAGATCTGATGATGATTAGTATAGTTGCTAAATGGTTCATGTTCATCAAGATGAAGAAAATCAGTTGGGAAGCAAAAGAAGAAAAGGATCCATCCGGCTTGGCTCCATGACGCAAGAGCCCAACTTTGTTTTCCGACTTTCTGCTTCTTTGGCCAAACTTTACTTTTTCTCCTGTTTGTCCCTCCAACTGCTGCGTCACTCATTTTTGTTCTTCTTCTTCTCTACTTCTTACTTCTTCTTCATCTCCGGCCTGCATCCGAGCTGCATCCTTAATTCCCTCTCCTGCATTCTCCCTCCCCTCCTTGCTCGTCTCCCCTCGCTAATCTCGCCGCCCTCCTTTCCTTTCCCTTTCTCCGCCTCTCGTTCTCCTCCCCGTTGCTTTGCTGCCTTTTCCTTCGTGCCCATCAATAAACAATTTTCGATCTTCGCATACCAACGCCCGTTCGTTGATATTCTCTTTCCATTCATCTCGCATCTACGACGTTTACGATCTACAATAATCTACAATTCATTGCAACTTTCTCTCCCTCCGGCCTCGGGCACCGCCTGAGCCATGTTCCGCAGAAAGAGGAGCTCCTCTCAGCATCAGGTGAGTCTCCTATTCCGCCAGTCTTCATCATCCCCATTGACACGCCCAGCATCCCCTCTCTGCCTCCTCCTCGCAATCCGCCCAATCCGCCGCAAGCCATGCCTTCCTCAAATCTCAACCCTCCTCCAGCAGCCTGTCCTCCGCCGCCGCTGCCGCCGCCCTCCGCAGTCTCACGCCGACCCCGACCTCTGTCGAAAATGTCCAAACAAAGCGCATGATGCAGCGAAGGGCCTCGGTCTCGTCCCAGGCAAGCGGCGTACCCAGTCTGCGTCCAACAAGTCGGAATGGCCTTCGTCGCGCCAACAGTTCGGCTTCCATGTCCACCCGTACATTCCGCGACCAGTCACCGCGACGCCCGGCCTCCAGTTCCGGTCCAGTCGAGGTTGCGCCGCCACTTCCTTCCATCCCTCAAGTATACTCCGCACGAAGTAGTAATGCCCAGCGTTCGGCCAGTGTCGGGCCGTCGCAGCGACCCAGCCCTCGCGGGAAGACACCGGCAGGACGAGGCATGAGCGTTGATCGCGGTTTGGCTACCCAGCCCGCTATGCGCGCGCCAGGGTCGACCCCGTCTCCCGAGCTTCGACGTCCAACAAGTCGGAATTCCGTCAATTTCTCCTATCCGATGCACTCTAGGCCAAATTCCCCGGACGGGTCCATCAATGCATTGGATAGGCGCGATGCGTCCGCGAGCATCTCACTGGCAGGTCAGCTATCGTCGCCCGAATCTCCCAAAGTCAAAAATGCCAGTCCTCGATCAGTCCGGGCGACGAAGAGCATGGGCATGTCTCCGGGCAGCCCTGGTCGTGGTGCACAGTCCTCCGGCACTGCAGTAGCCGCTGCGCAGGCTGCGGTGGTGCCCCGGGTACAAGATGTCACTCACACCCAAGCCCCGGTTTCTGCGGCCCCTCGCATCGCTGCCCCTCGCGAGCAGACAATCCCCGACCAGGCCCCTAGCCAGCCTGCTGTTCCCCCAGAACACAAGCAGCCAGTCCGCCCGCATCTAGTGAAACGACCTTCCACGGTCCCTGAGGATGCCCAGGGCGAGGAACGTGCCGAGTCAAATGTCCCCAAACAGCGGCCTGTTCCACCCCGAGGCGGCAGTGTGACGCCCGATACCCAACCGACGGTCGCATTTCCACCCACACCCGATAGAAGCAAGGATCAATTACTTAGCCCGCCCATAAGTCCCAAGCTGCCCACACAAGCCACTGAGACTGGCCAGGATAGCCAGCCGTCAGACATTCGCCAGTCAGGTAGTCCCGGCAGATCTGCGCACTTTTCCCGTCACTTGCTGGTGGCAGCCTTTGCCGGCGAGCAGCTGCACCAACCTCCCCCTCGGTCCCTGTCACCTGCCAAGTCAGCCATGAAGACTCCGCGTAAGATCTCACTTTCTCCGGAGGGGCGGACTGAATCCGTTCTCCGGCCGGGACCACCGCTGAGCGAGCTATCTGATGGGACCTCGGCAGCTTCCGACGAATGGTCCAAACCAGGAATCCGGAGGAAGCCAATTAAGGTCAGTTTCGATGACGAGGCGGAGGTGGTGGGGGTTGCTGCAAGTCCACCAACATCGCCGGAGGAAACGTCTCCTGAGCCGCTGTCCGAGAAGCCCAAACCCAAGACTCATTGGTTTGGCGGGAAGAAGAAACCAACGCCATTGAATACTGAGTTTGACGAAGTGCTGAAGCCGCGGCGAGCTCTCCCATCTTTCGGCAGTATACGGGCCGGTCGGGATGGTGAGACGCAAGAGAAATCTGTGCCTGAGTTGAGCGACAACGAGTCAACAACGTCGTCTGACTCGCCTGCGGAAGCACTGAAGTGGTCTTTCTCCAATGACCACGCGCTTGGGGGCCTTCTGACCGAAAATCAATCGAAGGAAGCAGAGCCCCGCGTGGCGCCGCTCATGCTTGCAAATGCAGCCGAAAGCGAATCCGAGGCGGAGAAATCGCCACAGGAGAGTCATTTTGCTAGTCAAACGAATCAGCCAGATATTCCTACGGGGACGGTCGATGTTTCTTCTCATGCTGGGCAGGAGCGTACCGCAGAGACGACTTTGGCAGTACCCAATATTATGGTCCAGCCGGCGTCTCCCATGTTTGAGAAGGAGCGTCGGAGTCTCGAGTGGTATGAGGTTCCTGGGGGTTTCCCCCGCTCGTCATTGGAGTTCGACTCCAAATCCCATGGTAAAATGAAGGCGAGGGAGGATTCCACGGACGCTACCAACAATGCCACCATAGGCCCTCCCGATGACGAAAGCGGTGACGAGTCGGGCGACAGTATCTATAGTGATGCTGAGGAAGGGACTGAGGGCAACGGCTTCGGGTCGATCAATGCCATCGTGGATGATGAAACAGCTGCTACTTCTGCTTCCAAGAGCGCAGCCAAGATACCTGCAGAGACTGGTGGCACCACAGAGAGGTCTCACTCACCGTCTACCGACTGGCCAGATGTACCTCAAACATGTCAAATCGCACGCACGGTGACTACGTTCCCGGATAAGGTTATGGAGCCGATCCCAGAATCCCCCGGATCTTCCCACGAGCCTCTTCCGTTTTCGTCACCTTATCCCCCGTTTCCGATCGAGCCGAAGAATAGACGAAGCTCTTCTCAAGCCGACATTTCACGTTCCTCTTCGGTCGCTGTTCGTCCAGCTAGGCATTCCATGCTGGTAGGAAGTAGCGACGCAATGCCTAGTAACAAGGCACCGCGCGCTGTGAATGGGTCAGCTGTAAATGGGCAGTTGGCATCCCAGCCCGAGCCACCTAGTGTGAGGCAGCGGCCTACTCCAGACAGTTCCCGGAGACGGCCGGTTTCATGGAGCCCAGCTCTTGCCGACTCCCAAGACGTGAGCCGTACGCCGCACATTAATGGCAAGACTTCGCCGGCGTCACCACGACCGCTATCCAGCGGTAGTGATTCGTCCAGCAGCTTCAAGCGGGCTACTCGACCTGCGCGCGCAGACTCCAACTACACCATGAGACGGACCATGCGAAGTACTCCGGGCCGCTTGGCCTCTAACAGAGCAACGTCCCCGCCATTGGAAACCCGCCCGGTGTCATCCGAATCTGGATTTGGCACCATGCGCACAACCTTACGGGCAAATGCTCCCAAACGTGAGAAGCCCTCGTTCTTCTCCAACAACAAGGCTCAAAAGTCTAAACTCACAAAGGTGCCGGGCGGTGGGTTCGCCTCCCGGTTCCCTGACTCGGACTCTGACGATGAGGGGTACGAGGCCTGGAGGTCACGGCATCGGTACGAAGATTCCAGTGATGATGAACAGCGGAGCCCGAATGCCATGCGACCCGTTCGGGGCATTCCTCGTCGGCAGGGCACGCACGACGGCGATTCGACTGAACTGGAAGACAGCTCAGATGAGGACCATCGTGCACCCCCGCTAGCCAATCCGCAGTCCCCAGCGAAGCCGAGCACATCTCGGGACCCTGCACTAGCCGCTGTAGCTAAAAATCGCGGGATGACGGAGGAGGAGCTCGACGAATTCCTGCGCCAACCTAATCGCGGTCGGAAGACTGGACTTCTCAAGCGTTTCAGCATGCGAAAGTCGAAGTCCCCTCTGAATAGAGGCCTAGTCAAGCCCGGGCTAGACAGTCCCGTACGCAACGGAGGGCCTGCAGAGCGGCCCCGAGTGGATCAAGAGCAAGCACGAGGGGAATCTCCCTTTCCTGGGGCTGAGTCGAATATTGTGACCACCATCACGGCGACTAATCCGCCCCCACCCCCGTCCAAGCTACTTCGCAGGCCTTCGCAGCGGTCCTCCCGCAGCGACAACTGGCCATTGCGCTCCGATCGGAAGGAGACTCGGACAGGCTCACCTCTTCCTGCGAATGGCCCTGCAGAGCGACTAGCCACTGTTGATGAAACTCCTCGGAACGGCAGTACGGTTATTTCACCTTCTCAGGGATCTGTCAAAGAGAACGTGAATCCTTCGACTGGCATGACTGCGGACAAGAGTGAGGGACGGCCGACCAACGTGGCGGACGTACCGATATCATCTTCAGGACGCAAAAAACGATTTCCCCGACTCCGGAAGGCGTTTGGCCTGCGCGATTGAAGCGAAGCGAACCTTCTCTTCTCATATATATACATACGATCTAATACCTGGTCTTGCTATCTTCATTCTGTCATTTTCTTCTCTTCCATGTCTGTGTTGGAAATATGTGTTGTAATAGCTCGTTGATTTGTTACGATCTGACCTAATTCATAATCATGGCGACTGCCAGCCATCGCAGATGATGTCTGGGGATGGGCAGCGACACGGCGCAATAGGAAGCAGGAAACATCGGGGCAGATGGGTTGATAAGGCCTGACGAGAATACAGACTACTCGGCGCTGAGAGATGGGGCATTGTTTGAACATTTGGGATTTCATTTTGGACTTGATTGATACCCTCGTTTAGGTTGCGAAGAGGTGACAGGCCATGGCCGATAACTTACATAATCAATATTTATATGAGATCTACACTACGTTTTGGCTCATATTCCCTCGCATTGTTATCTTTCTTGTAGATTTGCGGCTTTCTTCTGTTCGAGTTGCAAAGTGGTGACCGCGGAAAGGGAAAGACCAGGGTGAAGAGCAGGTGGGGAGTCAGCATGTGAGAGGTCCCTCTGCAGATTATTGTCCGACGGCTGTAACCTTGTGTGCAGCACGAGTAATCGATGCGGCAGATTATTCGGACGCGTCCTCCACGACGATGGCGGGCACAACACTATTACGGAGCTCCCGGTTCACCCAGGAAGCGACCGGAGATGAGCAGTCACAGAGCAAACAGGCTAGGCAGCAATGGCCTCGAACCGACCGGGTATTAGTTTCCCGCTGGGAGCGCCTAGACCCATATGTTGCAACCAGCCGAGGAAGCTCAGAGCAACGAACTGGAGCTGGGATCAGGCAGGGTCAAGGAAAATCGGCAGGCTGGCGCCCGCCCGAGCCCATCGACTGCACATACGATCAAGCCGAGCGAGAGGCTGGTCAAGCACGGGCGAATGGCTGGGAATTGAGACACTCAGAGCTTGGCCGGAGTGGAGACGAGAAGTGAGACCGGCTGGGGAGCAACGAAGCTCGATTCGCCAATGGCGGGACAACACGATGAGCACGGCGCACAGCTGCAGCAAGCCGTGCTGGGCGAAGAGCAAGCTGGATGGTCGATGGGGGGAAGCTCCAGGCGAGTCAGCTCCACGCATCGGGATCAATCGAGAGGGAGAAGAGGAGGTGGCAAAAAAAGAGATGAGAGAGAGATGAATTGACTCTGTCTTCATCTCATGGTTTCTCAGGGAACCGGCACCAAAGAGATGGGGGTTTGGGTTTCTGAATAATGAACGAAGAGCAGCAATATCGGCAAGGAAAAGCATTGGGCGACGATCGGTTGGAGCTCAGCGGGATCCAGATTGTCCGATCGAGGTTGTTGCCATGGGGACTCGGCTGGGGGCGGCTGGCCAGCCTCGTGGGTGATGAGATTTAATATGGTGTGAATGCGAAATGAACCCAGCTGCATGTGAAGGATGTGGTGCCGAGTGGAGACAGACTAACTGTAGTGCTATAACTTGCTTTACGGGCAGGGCAATGCGTTGGAGTCATTAGAAAATGGAGCTATCGATCAAACTACTGTGATCGGTCTCAACGATGGCGTCAATGCGAGTCTGAAAGGGACCCTACAAATAGCCAGCAATTGGAACACGCGGGCGGGAACCGTGGATGGGATCAAGCGCCGACCGTGGATGGAGAGGAGATTAGGAACCTCGGGATAAACCTCCCCTCATCATTAGATTGTACATCCCGCAGGAGGCTGGAAGGGGCGGAGGGGGGCAGGACAGGATGATTATTCCAGTAGATACCAGATAGTCAGTCAGTCACTGTTCTACTGTAGATACGGAAGAGTGAGTCGTGAGTAAAGTTTGGAGAGCTGAAGCACTTCAGTGGACTGTAAACATGGCCCCAATCCGGCATGGCGCGGTAAACAAACGCGTATCTCCAGCTACTTCAACACCGTCTTTTCCTCCTCGTCATCAAGCTGTTCTCTTCTCTCTCCCTCCTCTTCTCTTTCTATCCTCATCCCCCTCTCTCTCCACCTTCTACTTCTTCCATTCCATTCTTCCCCCCTTTTTCTTTCTTAAGCTTAAGCTTATCTTACATTCCTCTACCCCAGGAATTCTCCGCTTGATTTGAGATCGATCACAAAAGTATCATCTCAATTTCAACCCCACGTACTCTCCCCCGAGAAAGACTTCTTCTTCCCCGTAACAAGTCTTTTCTTGTCTCGTCTTTCGAGTTGTTGCCCAACAGTTCGAAAGGCATTCGAGAAGAGACGCCCGAAGGACAGCCAATCTGGACTTCGACGCCCGCGTCCCCATCCCCTTCAGTGTCTTCCCGTCGTCGTACCGGAGTGACGCTGTTCCTGAAGCTACTCTCGCGGCGCCTGCCAGAGTAGAGGAAGAAGTCAATCTCGATCGCACTTCGCACGTCGAACGGGAAGATACTCGAACCTCTGCTCCTCTCCCAGACCCCCGTGTCTACGGAAAGGAAGAAGTCGACCTTCACGCTTCTTCTGCTTCAGCTTTTGTCGAACAGGATCGTTACGGTCCTAGACCCGGTGCTCCCTCTGCTTTCCGTGAGGAGGACGTGACTACTACCGTCAATACTGTTCGATTCGACGAGCGTGTTGAGACTATCCCCCCCGTTGGTGCTGCTGCTTCCTCTGCTGCTCCTCGGTATCCCCAAGTTGATCTAGCGCGTGAACGGTAAGCCACTACTTTTTTTGTTTTTCCCACTTTTTTTTTTCTTTATTTACATGTGTATTATTTTTGGTTTGTTTTCTTTTTTTCCTTACTGTTTTTGTTTTGTTTTTTCCCGGTGGCTGCCTGGCTGGGGCATAGGATTGGCACGGGGCACCACATCCACTCCAGCCTAAGTGGAGAGCGACAAGAAGCGGTGTCTGGCCGTGGCTTCACTACTAGTCGCGTCCTCCACTTCCTTCTTACGTGGCACCAAAACAAACAAGCCTCTCTTCCCCAACCCTCTTCTCATTTCCTCTTCTACTTCCTCTTGCTTTCCTGTTTTCCTCTTTTCCTTTCCCTTTTTCCTATTTCTTCCCACCCCATCCATTGCATTCCCACCCACTTGTGGTCCCAGCTTAAGCTTCCCCTTCCCACATACCACCCTCCCATAAAAAGTATTAAGTCCTGTTCCACCCAATCATCACACGTTCCCCTCAATCATACCCCAACCCTACTATACATCACATCCCCTTGCCTGCTTGCTTGTTTGCGTGCTTGCTGTTTGTCTACCTATTACCCCATTGGACCTCCACCTTCCCTTCCTACATGACTATTGCATTAGTTCCCCTTCTCTGACGCACCCATAGTTATCGTGAACCGTCGGTCCGTTTCCAAGACCGTCAACCCACCTACGATCAGGCTCTCCAGAACCAGCTTGACATCACTGAGCGCGAGTATCGTCGTCGGGTCAATAACCCTACCTACGACGTTCCTGCCTCTTCGTACGACCGCCGCTCTCAAGCCTCGGTAGAATCCTTCTCTGGTCCTCGCCAGCAGTCTAGGGACGTTTCGTACGACCGCCAGTTCAAGCAGTCCGAGTTTGACGTCTCGTACGACCGTGCTTACCAGTCTAAGCCTGTCGACTCCTACCCCCGCGACCCCTACAGCCGCCGTCAACAGAACGTTGAGCCGGTTCCCGAGTCTCCTAGCAGCTCGAACTCTGTGAAGGTTCTTAAGACCAAGACTGTCATTGATTCCCCTCCTTCTCGCAAGATGGGTTACTACGACGACGACGGTAACTATCACTCCTTCCGTCGTGGTGTGGAGCGCGCTGCCGACCGCATCATGCACCCTCACGGTCACCACGACCGCCAGGACGTAGTCGTCGCTGACGAAGGCGGTCCAGTTCGTTTCCGTGAAGGCGTCCGCGAGGATGTCCGTATCGTTGAGCCCCGTGCCGGTGGCAGCTCCTCGACCGCCGAGACCGTGCCGATCCCCTGCCACTTCATCCGCATCGGCGACATCCTGATCCTTCAGGGCCGTCCCTGCCAGGTGATCCGCATCTCGGTCTCCCCCCAGACCGGCCAGCACCGCTACCTGGGTGTCGACCTGTTCACCCGTGAACTCCAGGAGGAGTCCAGCTTCGTCTCCAACCCCTCTCCTTCCGTCGTGGTCCAGACCATGCTCGGCCCTGTCTACAAGACCTACCGCATCCTGGACCTCCGTGATGACGGCCGCCTGGTCGCCATGACCGAGACCGGTGATGTCAAGCAGGGTCTGCCCGTGGTGCCCCAGGGTCACCTGTTCCGCCGCATCCGCGAGGCCTTCGAGGATGGCCGTGGCAGCGTCCGCGCCCTGGTCATCAACGATGGTGGTCGCGAGCTGGTCGTCGACTACAAGGTGGTCCACGCTTCCCGCCTGTAAGCCCACAACATCCACCTTCCCCATTCGGTTTAGCTCCCGTGTTGTACCCGCTGGTTTGTTCCGCCGGGTATGATCCACGGGATACCTTCCCGAATAAGGTTGCCGGGCAACTGGGTGAGAAACTCTTCTCGACGATCCTTATGACATGACCTGACCTCGAGCTTTTTGTATCTGATGGATTATGCAATGATGGAATGGCCTCTTGAAAATGATGTATTGGCATGGCCTTGTTGTACTTAGGATAATGGATGTAGCTTATGCTGTTTGTATACATGATTTCAGTAAGCTTAATGTAGTTGACACATTCCGCTGCAGCTTAACTTCTGTCTCAAACATTCCAGAGCAGAAAGTAACTTCCACTCAAAGACTGTGATTCCCTTTATCCTCTTTGTCTTCAATCCCATGATGCCAAATTACACCCCGGTCACTCCATGTACCCTCCTACAGCTTATGTATTGTACGTCCTCTCTCACTATTGCGTTTGAGTTGCAAATCAGAGCGCGATATATTTATTACTACTTTCGGTACACCGTAGATATGTTGGTAAACTGATAACCGCAATCCTTAGCTCAGTCGGGTTATATACATAGATAGATATATCTATCCCTCCGTTGGATATTATCAGTCAGTATACAACCTACCACACCTTGACGTTACTCTTGGTCCACAGGATGACAGGTACCAAGTCGTACTTATTTTGTATGTTCTTACTGCCGGGGCGTAGGTCAATCGTTTATCTCGCAATGTCGTGATTGATTATGAATGGTGCAAGACTAAATGACTGACACACTCTGGATTAGCACAGTAGGTTGGAAAAATGCAGCCGTCTTGTTATGTGAGTAACTTCCTGTGGTCATTCTCTGCTTGACTGGGACTCAGCACAGCCTTAACAATGTGGAAGTCGTGTGGTGGTTGTTACTAGGTTCGCGCCCTGGGAGACTACGATTGGCTTGTAAGTCTTATGAACATGAATGTGCATGTTATGTTATTGGAAAACTTTTATACGAGCAGGTTCAAGGGGATGACTAGTATTATGCTAGTATATTTTGTGTAGGGGCAGTTGTTTGTACTAGGTAGGGTGTAAAGTAAGTAGTAGTAGTAGTAGGTCTCGGACATGTGTGGATATATATTCCGATCATACGACGTCATCGTATGTCGACAATATAAACATCCACTATTGCAGTTGGTAATATATCATGAATAAACCACTTTAATATGTCCAAGAGAACAAACCCTACTGGCCGCAACCTGTCCCTGAAGAATCTTAATCTAAATTAGCTCGCTGCTCCTTCCATGGCGTCTGCAACCACCCGTGCGGAGCTTAAACCTGTCTGGGTAAATATCTCGTCATACTACTATACCCCGCGTTCAATGAACAGCATATTTATTGTCCACAAGTTACCTCTAAGTCTTATCAATTCGTTATCCAATTCAAAATGCATATCTCTATCATCACGCTGCTACCATTACTCGTAGCCAGCCATGTCAACGGCCTGGCCCATGATTCCGGAGTATACGGGCCCTCGCTGGAGCTAGTCCACCAATACTATGACCAGTTTCCCACCGGCATCGCTGTATCCTCCACGGGGCGCATGTTCTCCTGCTACCCTCTGGGCCTGGACGCCAACAACACCCGCTACCAGGTAGCTGAACTTACGGACTCGACGACCGAAGTGCCGTATCCTTCTGCGGAGTTTAACTATCCTCCTGGTGGAGCGGTTAATTACTCTACTTCTCCGGCGGTTAGTATCCCCCCTACCAGTAATACTATATGTCTGTCTAACATGGATATATCATAGACAACGGTCAACTACGCAGATCATCTCATCAGCGTCCAAAGCGTCGTCGTCGATGCCAAAGACCGTCTCTGGATCCTTGACACCGGCCGCGCTACCACGGCAAACAACACCCTCCTGCTATCTTCATATGGTGGTCCAAAGCTAGTCGGAATCGACCTGGCCACGAATAAAGTGTTCAAGACGATTCTCTTCCCTAGAGACGCCGTTTACGCAGACTCGGTATGCCCCCTTAATTCCTTCCAATCAAACCATCACTACATATCTAAACAAAGAATGAATAATAGTACCCCAACGACGTCCGCTTCGACCTCCGCCCCACCCTCCCCAACACCTCCGGCCATGGCATCGCCTACCTAACCGACTCCAGCCCAGAGGGCCGCAACGGCCTGATCGTAGTCGATCTCGGCACCGGCAAAGCCTGGCGACAGCTGGACGGGCTAGCTATAACGAAAGCAGAGCCGGATTTCCGCGCCTTTATCTGGGGCGACGTTGTCGATGTCTCCACCGGTACTGACGGAATTGCGCTCTCCGCTGATGGCGAAACGCTGTACTTTGGTGTTGTCAGTGGACGGGACATTTACTCTGTACCTACTGCTGTGTTGCGGGATGATTCCTCTGAGGGCCGGGCCAAGGCTGTGAAGAGCGTGACCAAGATAGTTCAGAAGGGAGTCAGTGATGGTTATGAGACCGACTCAGAGGGACGGATTTTTGTGGGAAGTTTCGAGTCGAATGCGATTAATGTGGTGTATCCTGGGAATGACAGCGTGGAGACATTTGTGAGGGATCCGAGGATGGGGTGGACGGATACGATGAGTGTGGTTAGTCTTGGAGGGAATGGGACGGAGGAGAGGGGATACTTGTATTTCACGGAGAATCAGCTGTGGAGGCAGGAGAGGGAGAGGCCGTTTGCGCTGTTTCGGGTGGAGTTGCCGGGTGGTGCTGGGAAGGTGGTTCTGTAGTAGGTAGTTTGGTAGGTAAATATTATGCTATGAATGCTCGGTTTCTGGAGAGATAAGTCCGGAGTAGCTGTGAAGAATGAGACATCTCTTGATAATGGCCTGTAAACTGGATGCTCGGTTTCTAGGGATAAGTCCGGAGGCGTATGTAATGGGGGATAACATGATAATGGTGTGTGAAGGTATTCAGCCATGGAGATAGGGATGGTATCTGCGGCCTCCAAAACCCTAAGTCCGGATATCCGCGGAGACAGTTATCACCGAGTGCAGCTACTATACTCATCTCTGATATATTATGCTATACAACCAACACTCATATACCATCGACTATATAAGGCCTGAAAGAGCCACTTCCTACTATACCTCATCACTCACAGTTCCACCATCATACTACACACTCACCACTCAACTACAAATCCACCCCTTATACTCCGAAGTATACACCACAACAACAATGTCCTCACCCACCACCACCACCACCACTCCCCCATCTCCAACAAAGAATGGATCCCCCCTCTCCCACCACCGCCACCTCTCCCCCACCTCCTCCATCCGAATCTCCCCCCTCCAACTCGGCGGCATGTCCCTCGGCACAACCTGGAGCGACCGTCTCGGCGCAGTCCCCAAATCCTCCGCCTTCACTCTCCTCGACAGATTCTACGCCCTAGGCGGCAACTTCATCGACACCGCAAACGCCTACCAAGCAGGCCAATCGGAGGAATGGATCGGCGAATGGATGGCGACACGGTCTCCCACCCGTCGCTCGGAGATGGTCATCGCAACGAAATACACACTCTCCCCTATCCCCCCTTCCACCGATCATACTCAGTCCCAAATCCAACAAAGTAACTTCGGCGGCAACGGCACCAAATCCATGCGCGTCTCGATCGACGACTCCCTCCGAAGACTCCAAACCACCTACATAGACGTGTTCTACGTGCACGCGTGGGATTACTCCACCAACGTGGAGGAGTTGATGCAATCGCTCAACCATCTAGTGGTCCAGGGGAAGGTCCTGTACCTGGGGATTAGTGATGCGCCGGCGTGGGTGGTTAGTAAGGCGAATATGTATGCGAGAGTGCATGGGCTTCGTGGGTTTAGTGTTTATCAGGGTAGGTATGGCGCTACGTGTCGGGATTTGGAAAGGGAGGTTATACCGTTGTGTAGGGATGAGGGGATGGGGGTTTGTGTTTGGGGGGTTTTGGGGAATGGTATGTCTGCCCCCTTAGTATCTCCCTTCTTCTTTTGGTTGCAACTTGGTGGTGGAGGTGAATGTGGTGTGCTTGATTGGGTTTGCTAATTGTATATGATTTGAATACTAGGGTATATTCGCCCCCCGAACAACGACTCTGCTCCGAAGAGAGTTCGAAACGTCTCCCACCTACTCACCGGCTACGAAGAGCAGGTTTCGGTTGTGTTAGATACCGTTGCGAAGCGTCATGGGGAGGGGGTTTCTGTCACGAGTGTGGCTATTGCCTACGTGTTGCAGAAAACACCCTACCTTTTCCCCATCATTGGGGGACGGACGGTCGAGCAGCTCGAGGAGAATGTGCAGGCGTTGAGTCTGGAACTTACCCCGGAAGACGTCAGGGATATTGATGCTGCGTATCCCTTTGACTTGGGCTTCCCGCATAGTTTTCTTTGTCCTGGGGGGTATCGTGATGGTGGGGGTTGTCCGGGACCTCAGGATGTGGCGTTTTCGAGGACGATGGGGGAGTTTGATTATGTTGAGGGGAGGAGGGCGATTAGGGCGGTTAGGGGGTGAATATACTATTCCATTGGGATATTGGGGGGAATGGGGGAATGGAAATTGGGTGTGTTGAGTGTATGTAGTTGATAGAGAATGGACTCGTTTAGTAGGTGTGGCTATGGTCATGTCCATAAGCTGTTTGTTGTATCTTATGTTATAATTTCTCAGGATTAGCAGAATGGTATTATACTATCCACAGCAATGAACATTAACCGTATGTGAAATGAAGCCATATGCAGAACCATAACAGGTGATCTAGTTGATCAGCTAAGCAGACTGTAACCAGCCAGCACATGGCATAACGCACGCCTGAACTCCAACCAACATCAAACATATCCAATTCACGCCTCAACCAAGCAAATCGACTAGATGAGCAGGGTACTTCCATAAGAATCGTAACGCCGACTGTCCTCAAGATGCTCCAGAAGCCATAATATACATGTCCACACTTTCAGAAGAGACGAACCGGGTATCGTGCGTAGCAAAAACTCCGAGCCAGCAGTTGCCAAAGAAGAAACGGATCTGCTGTAGCTCCGTCACCGTTCCCCAAACTTGCCATACTCCTGCTGCCACTTCAAGAGATGACGAGTCAACACATCCATCATCTCCACGCTGCTGAGATCCTTGAAGTCCTTCTCTGCAGCGGGTTGCGTCATTGAACCGCTTTCCAGGCCGGCGCTCTCGATAGCACTGGAGAGGAGTTGATTCTCGCTCAAAAGTCGGGTGATCCCGTTCGGCCGGTCATCATTACCCGGCGGGGTGGTGCTCTCCCCTGCGACAGCCATTTCCACCTGCATGCGTGAAATGAACTCCAAGATTGCCGTCACCCGCCGCTTCATCTCGTTCATGGTAGTTCGTTGGTTCACGTAGCGGGGCCGGCTGGGCTTGCCCGATTCACTGCTGTTGATGTGTGTCCCGTTGACACCCACCCGCGGCGAGTCCCCTCCTAGATCATGCGAC